TGCATGTTTCCAGATTAGTGGAATTTTTCCCGAATTTACATTGTTGAAATATCCGTAAAAGATGTTTAACACGAGATGAGGCTTTGCACTTCCGTGAGAATACTGTTGAAACCATCTACTTAGAGCCATGTTTACTTTTTCTTCTGTAAATTCTATCCTGTTAATAGGGCTTCTAAGTTCTAGTCACACATTTAAAGAATTGCTTTAATGTGCCATTTGTTGCTATACCATTCTCAAGTTTCCATAGGTCTGATAATTTTCTACCAATCTAATGTTGACATATTATCTATATTTATCCCAAATCTTTCTTTTTTATTAATTTCTTTAAAAATATGCTGATTGATCCATGGTTTGGTTTTTGTGTATTGACCCTACGGAAACGTTTGATTGGGATGAACTTATCTATTGTGGAGTTGGAAATATTTTCAATATCATTGTATACTCACCCAAATTTATATGGAATCACCGAATATTTTCGCTGAACAATTGTTTGCTAAAAAATTAGTTGCTGGTAATCAAGATACAGAAAATCCATGAACTTCATTTTATTATAGTACCTATGTATTAATTAAAAAGCCAATTTATAAGAATATGCGCGATTCCATATAAGTTTGGGTGACTGTAGTGTAAGTGGGCATTATAGTTGGTGTAACATTTTGGAATTGTTTTTGCAAGTGATTATTAGTAAAATTGTAGTTTGTAGTCTAGAAGTTACGCCTGAGTATATTTTGAGTCGGTTTAATAATAAGTAATTAATAAATGATCACTTTTTCCCACTGGCGGATTGCCCTTCATGTCGTGGACACAGTTTTTTGTAATGCACATGTCTTGAGATATCTTATCAGCAACTTCTACAAAGCTGTTATTCTAGTTTATATTGAGATAGTTAAAATTGTCCATGATAAGAGTGGGTACTTGGGTAGAAAATGCTTCTTCAATCTTGTTGATCATTCGTAAATTAATTGCTTCCGAAGTTTGATTAGGCCCATAAATGTAAGCTAAACGTATATTGTGTAGGCTTTTCCTCCGGGATATCAATTTATATTGCGTGGACCAGCAACACGTGAAAAGGTAGTTGACAGCAGTTGTCCCAGAGACAGATAATTTTTTTAAAGTTTGTCAAGTTTCTACAATTTTTTACAATTAAAAGTGGATATTACAGATTACTGAGTGAACTTTCATTTAAAATATTTATTAAATCTCGCTAAGGCCTCCTACAAACTTCAGAAGTGGGATAATGGATGGATAATTGTGGGAATAACAAGGACAAAGAAGTCGATTTGTGCTAGTGCAAAATTATGGTTTGCATCTTAATGGCTTAGTGGGACAAAGAAGCCAATTTGTGCCAGTGCAAAATTATGGTTTGCATATTTATGCCAGTGCAAAATTATGGTTTGCATCTTCATGGCTTAATGGGACAAAGAAGCCGATTTGTGCCAGTGCAAAATTATGGTTTGCATATTTATGCCAGTGCAAAATTATGGTTTGCATCTTTATGGCTTAGTGGGACAAAAAAGCCGATTTGTGCCAATGCAAAATTATGGTTTGCCTATTTGTGCCAGTGCAAAATTATGGTTTGCATCTTAATGGCTTAGTGGGACAAAGAAGCCGATTTGTGCCAGTGCAAAATTATGGTTTGCATATTTATGCCAGTGCAAAATTATGGTTTGCATCTTCATGGCTTAATGGGACAAAGAAGCCGATTTGTACCAGTGCAAAATTATGGTTTGCATATTTATGCCAGTGCAAAATTATGGTTTGCATCTTCATGGCTTAGTGGGACAAAGAAGCCGATTTGTGCCAATGCAAAATTATGGTTTGCATATTTATGCCAGTGCAAAATTATGGTTTGCATCTTCATGGCTTAATGGGACAAAGAAGCCGATTTGTACCAGTGCAAAATTATGGTTTGCATATTTATGCCAGTGCAAAATTATGGTTTGCATCTTAATGGCTTAGTGGGACAAAGAAGCCGATTTGTGCCAGTGCAAAATTATGGTTTGCATATTTATGCCAGTGCAAAATTATGGTTTGCATCTTCATGGCTTAATGGGACAAAGAAGCCGATTTGTACCAGTGCAAAATTATGGTTTGCATATTTATGCCAGTGCAAAATTATGGTTTGCATCTTTATGGCTTAATGGGACAAAGAAGCCGATTTGTGCCAGTGCAAAATTATGGTTTGCATATTTATGCCAGTGCAAAATTATGGTTTGCATCTTCATGGCTTAGTGAGACAAAGAAGCCGATTTGTGCCAATGCAAAATTATGGTTTGCATATTTACTGTGCCAGTGCAAAATTATGGTTTGCATCTTCATGGCTTAGTGGGACAAAGAAGCCGATTTGTGCCAATCCAAAATTATGGTTTGCATATTTGTGCCAGTGCAAAATTATGGTTTGTATCTTCACGGCTACCGCCTTAATTTATAAAATGAACGACGACTGCAGAAACGTGCGGAACGAAGAAATCGTTCTGATAAACGTGTTCATCTTTGTGATACTTGAATTTAAATGTGATACCTTATGTCCTTGTGATACCTTATGTCTTTGTCATACCTTATGTACTTATGATACCTTATGTCCTTGTCATACCTGATGTACTTATGATACCTTATGGCCTTATACCTTATGTTCTTATGATACCTTATGTTCTTATGATACCTAATGTCCTTATCATACCTTATGTCCTTATGATACCTTATATCCTTATGATACTTTATGTCCTTATGATACCTTATGTCATTAAGCAAGCCTGTCTATCTTATGAATAATTTATGTTAGGTTTTATGTTTTATAGGCGAGGTCGCCTATATTTGTCAGGAAAGCCGAGTTGTAGGCTTTTCCTCCGGGATATCAATTTATATTGCGTGGACCAGCAACACGTGAAAAGGTAGTTGACAGCAGTTGTCCCAGAGACAGATAATTTTTTAAAGTTTGTCAAGTTTCTACAATTTTTTACAATTAAAAGTGGATATTACAGATTACTGAGTGAACTTTCATTTAAAATATTTATTAAATCTCGCTAAGGCCTCCTACAATTGGTATTATTAATACGAACTTCTAACCAGAGAGAACTAACTAGCGTTTCAATTATATACGTTTGTAATATCCCACATAACAGTGAAAGAACATTCATATTCTCAGAATATTCCCTCAAAGTGCTTTTTAGAATGTTCCTTTAGGAATGTTTAATGAATATTCTAAGATTGTTTCGATTGTAATATTCATTTTTGAACGTTCTATTTATGTACTAGGAATGTTGCTTCTATGCACCTACCTGAAAGATTGTGCTGCTAAGAACCTACTTTATATAACATTATTTGGATGTTGTCATACGAACATTATTATAATGTACTATAAAAAATGTTCTTTCGGCTAATATCTTTATCAAGTATTAAGAATATACCTACCAAGTTGTGCTGAGAAGTTTATGTAAGCTGTGATATTTTCATATTGTTAACCTAATTATCTAAAGTACCTACTCAAAATTCTTAATAGAACAATTAAACAATAATGCTCTATCTAGAACCTACTTAGAATATTATAGGTATGTTCTTTTTCTTTTGCTTTGCAGGACTTCCAAAAGAGGGAGCCACGCGCTATTAAAGATCTACATCTTGCCTAGCGACCCTAGCGTTTGAATTACCTTGGAACCTGTTTCTCTCAGTTTGCGTGCTTACCACGACGGGAGCATAACTAGCTCGAAACCGGAGCTTTGGTTGAACACTTGTGTTTTCCAGAGAAGTTTTCCAACAACTCTTTCACTGCCTCTAATATAAAAAGGCTGAAAGGAGCACCATTTGGAAGCGAAAATTAACAGTCCAAGTAGATTCTTAGAATCAAACAAGAATGTTATGTCTAGGATGCATATTGAGAATTATATATGTAGATATATTCTAAGAATATTTCATGCATATTGGTATAATATTCTTTTGAGTACATAACTATAATGTCATAGAAACATTCTTTGAATGTGAGAATATACATTTCGAGCATATTTTTAGAATCAAACAAGAATATTCTTTTCAGGATGTACTGAGAATCTCATAAGTATATTCTAGGAATATCTTAATAAATTTCCCAGGAAGTTCTTGGGTATTGCAAACAGTATTTCTACAATCTTTTCTCAGAACATTCTCAGGACATTCGCAATGGTTTTGGCGAACATTCTAGGCACATTCCTCCTTAAAAAACAACATTCTTATTACATTCTAAGGATGCAATTTTGTTATGTGGGATGTTGGACGAAAATATGTTGATATTGCCTTTTTTTTTTATATACAATACGTATATGCAAACATTACCTCCCTTTGGATCTGCTCGGTACATCTAACGAAATTAATTAAGTTTTTATTTACATTATCATGTAACCGTGTTTCAGTTGAGTAACATTTCGGATTTTTGAACGTTCATTTTTCTCATGTACAGGGTGAGTCACTATATTTTGATACCCATTTGCAGCCATAATTACAGGTGATAGGTGTAAATATAAAAGTTGTAGCATTTTATTTGAACTACCAGAATTTTTAATTAGATTGAAAAAATGAGCAACACAAAATGAAAAAATATGTCAATGTTCACTTTTTTTAAATGGAATGCACTTTATTTTCTTTCAAATTCTTGAAGTTATCATTTTTCTGATTCAAGATTATATAATATATTAATGTTTCTTTCAATAGTTTTGGAAATATCTGGAATTTAGTTATTCAAAGACCTATTCACGTATGAGAAGGTTTTGTGAAGGTGACAGGTAAATCAAGGTAAAATATATTCAAAAAACTACTGTGTTTGAATAACTGAACTCAACATATTTCCAAAACTATTGAAAGAAACTTTTACATATCATATAATCTGAATTAGAAAAACGAGAACTTTAAGAATTTGGAAGAAAATAAAAGGCATTCCATTTTAAAAAAAGTGAACATCGACATATTTTTTAACTTTGCGTTGCTAATTTGTTCAATCTAATTAAAAATTCTGCGGTTCAGATAAAATGCTACAACTTTTGTATTTACACCTTTTACCTATCACCTGTTATTACGGCTGCAGGTGGGTGTCAAAATATGGTGACTCACTCTGTACCTAATTAATTACACCTTTTCTCTTAGGAAATTTATTCCCAAAGTGAAATTTCCAACTGCCCCATCCGATCTATGTATATTTAGTTTTTTGGCTTTTCTGCTATAATAGTGGAAAATCGCCTTACATATTGGATTTTCAAATTTTGCTCGCCCCCTTTTTTTTTCTTTTTTCAATTTTTCAGATTTTTTTGAAGGTATTTTCACTGTTTTTGTTATCAACAAATTGTCTCAATCGCATTATTTTAGAATCTTTTGGTAAATTAAGCTCGGCTTTTTTTTAGAAGGTTTTCTCTATCTCCATCTGTTCCGTTATTTTCTCCTGAATTCTTCTACTCGGAAAACTAAATTATTTCTGACTCTGATTTCCCTAGCTTCTAATTTTATAGAGGTAGATTCCAAGAAGCTTTCTGTGATTCACTAGTTTGGTGTAGAACTGATGATTTCAGCCTTCCCTTCAAGAACTTCAGCGTATCTAATTTTGGATAGTTTCTAATGATAATAATGATATTTTATCTAAACCTCATATCATATTTGCCTCTGATGATGATAATAAGGAAGTCGTCTGCATGTACTGAAAATAGTTCCACGTTCCACAAGTGCTCAAGTACGTTAATGAGTTTATTCGAAGTTCTGTGGAGCTCGGCTTTATTTTCTATAGAGCGTGCAAGAGTTGATTTCTTGCAGCACTTCATATGATGTATTGTCAACTCAAAATCTCCCTTTAAACCTACTATGAGCGCACCGAGCAATTTCCTAATTAATAGAGTGTTTTTTTTTGAGGCTGTGTGAAAGTAAGTATTGATTTGTCAAATTGATAGTAGGTACTCGTGGGGTTATTTATAGTTTGGAAATTATACCATATTGACAGAATTTTTAATAAATATTATTTCAAACTATAATAAATTCACCAAATAATAATTGTTTGATAAAAGTATATAGAAACCTTTTAGCGATATTACGCAGCAAAATAAGGCAAAAAAAAAAACACCAAAGAATATATAAATTCGAGGCATTCAAGTTTCAATATAAGTGTTTTCAGTACCTACATATGCATATTTTGTATACCTAATCTTATAAAGGTAAGAAACTTCAGAACAAATAAATATATAGAATTTTCTTGTAATCAAGAGTGAGAAATTGATTCAGGAATCTTGCAAAATGCAACTTTTTATAATATCTTTCCTTGCCTTTTGCGGACTTATCGTCTTATGTAACGGAGAATGTACCGAGGGAGTGTATGGTAAGCGATGCTTAAATGGTACCTAACGAACAAAGTATTGATAATTCATTATAGAATATGGAGTAAGCGAAGAGGAAAAAAACTACATACTTGAAACACACAACAGTCTTAGAGAAGATCTTGCAAACGATAGAGTGCCTGGTCAACCAAGAGCTATAAATTTGAAGCGATTTGTGAGTTAACTTTTTCCAGACAAAAAAGAGAACGGTAACATTTGTTTTTGTTATTACCCATAGGAATGGGATGATTATTTGGCTGGTCAAGCACAGGATATTGCCAACACCTGTGAATATGGACATAGACCAGTTCAAGACAGTAAGTAGCAAACTCTTCACTTTGTTGGATGCTGGATGAAGTAGTTTTAAATTGTAAAATCGTCAAGATATGTTAGAGGATTGAACAGGGAACTGCTGGTCTAGAACTATTGCACTGAGACTTTTGGTATTTTCCCGAATGCTTTCTTTTCTCACCTGTTTGACTAGAAAGTTCAGAACTGTTGTCGGTAGGTAGCCACTTTGTTGGCTAACTGGTTCTGTTGCTTCTAGTGTTGATGAAACTACCCATTTTGATCCTGAGGTGTAGGATGTAGAGTCATCTTCTTATCAGCCTGTTCTCATCCACTTGAATTTAAGTCTCTTCTATATTTTCGCATTTCTGCCTGTACATAGCTCTCCTCAATACTCCATTTCCTTCTGGATGTCATCACTTTGAAGTCTTTCGTCACTTCTATTGCTTTCTCCTAGCCGTCACCTAAAGAGTTCTTGAGTAGACTTGATAATTTTCATGAAAATTTGTTTTCATTATTAGATTTCTGCTTTCGATATCAGATCTCATCCATCAGATTAAGAAAAATCAGGAAAAACTTTGAAAGCTGGAGATTTGCCAGTCCTATGAGGTGGGATATGTTGTGTCCAATAGGTATCTACTATGTGGAATTGTGAAATTTTTCTATATAGAATCCTCCAACAACTTTCTTGTTACACTCGTCAAATTTTGCACCATTCTTTCAGCTTGTCTGTTGTTACTGGGACACAACAATATATCGCATCATATTACTTCAGAGAACTTTTGAAAATCTGAAGCGGTTAGACCTATATGGCAGATGTACTTGGAACTTTTATTGTAAAAATTAATGAATTAGCAACCTCGCCTTCTTTCATAATAGGTATATTCTTGACTTTACACTTAAAAGTGAATAAATAAATAAATAAGCCATGATTTCAAGAACTCGCAGGACATTCAGGCTGTTTCTAGCAACTGTTAATAATGAAATATATTTTAGGTAGAGACAGTGTGGGACAAAATATAGCAAGATCACAAACCACTAATTACATACCAGGAGCCAATTGGACTGAGACCCTTATCTCTCAGTGGTGGGACGAATATAAGAAATATGTATATCAAGACGGAGTTCAAGATGACACTCTTCACTACACTCAGGTGAGTTTGCATGAAGTGCTCACATATTTTTGGGGGGTAGTATCATCATTATATAAATTTAACATTTATAGATGGCTTGGGACGATACTCATTTAGTTGGATGTGGTTATACTTATTATGACGTAGGTGGAGAATTTCCGTTCTTTAAGTTCTACGTTTGCAATTACTCACCAGCGTAAGTAATTTAACTTATTATTTCACTATTTTTGAGTTATTTCAGCTAATTTATTATTGTTCAAATTAGATTTCTAACAAAAATCCCACGTTCTTTGATTTTTCAGTGTCAAGATACTTAAAAATAATAACATTCAAGATCAAAAGTATTTAGCAACTATAAAGTATTCTTTAATTTTTTATATTTTAGTGGCAATTCTGACAGATATCCTTACCAAACTGGAGAGTCTGGATGCGAAAACTTGTGCTAAAATGAGGATATCTGACAGGTGATTGATACCTTCTGTATCAACATTGTGTCGATTTTTTTTTAAAATTGGTACAATTTTGCTGAAAATAAAGCAATTATTTTTCATAACTAATATTATTTGTGTTATTTATGTACCTACACCCTACACCTATGCACTTGCTCGTACTTCGGTGTAAGAGTATCTACCAAATTGGTAAAGTTCTCAGCCTATATACCCATTAATCTCAATTTGATAAGTGAAAATCTAAGGAAATTCCAGTTACATTTTCAGGATTCTCATTTTGGTTCTCTTCAATGAATATATCAACGCAATTCGATTTTCCTTTGTGACTTCAAGATCTTTGCAAAAAATTTAAATATCCCCATTAGAATTTCATGTCTTGACCAGCAATCTAATTTAAACAGGTTTAGCTCAACTTCTTTTTGGAAGAAATAACGGTCTTTATTCACTAGCTTTGACAATATACCTTATGTCCTGCAGGGAGACTTTATTTTTGGCATCAATGAAGAGTGATATTTATAATTAAAGGGGTGTAACTGTTACCCTCGTTGCCCAAGGATGTTCCATACATTATTTTGCTGGCATTTCTCTTGGTTTTAAATTCACATTGAAATTCCAGGTGATCAACAGCATTGGTTTGCTCAGGGTAGATAGAGACTAATTTGCCGAGGTTGAATGTTCAAAAGTCAAAATTACTTAAAAACGTGTATATAATTAATTTAATAAATCGTGAATGCAATGCCTAAATTAATAAGAAAATAAGCATTAAGAAAATGTTTAAATACTGCAGGACAATTATTCAACCCTGTTTTTAATAAAGACATTATGTTAATTATTATGGTTAAATGATCAAGGCAAAAAAAAACTAAAGCTAAAAAAATTAATAATCAATCATAGAGTTGTCCTGACTGATAGGCTTCTTGGTAGCTCCTGCCTCCTTTTTCCTGAGCATCCAATTTAATCATATCGTCTATCCTCAGAATAGTAATTGCAGCTTCCGTAGCAAACTTCAAAGATTTAATTTTCGAAACTGTGGGTTCCAAAACTCCAGCTTTCCGGTTGTCTTTTACTGTACCTTCAATAAGATCTAAGCCGACAAATTTAAGATCTGCGTGTTCCAACTAAAAGAAACAACGATTTTGAAATTTCTTTAAAGAATCAACACAAAATTATCTTACCTTAGTCTGGCTTGAATTGTGATAAGCCCTAAGCTTAGCCACTAAATCTGTGGCATCTTTAGCAGCATTTACAGCTAAAGTTTTGGGAATTACTAAAAGAGTCCTAGCGAATTCGGCTATGGCCAATTGTTCTCTGCTGCTGAGAGTTGTTGCAAAGTTTTCCAAGTATATTGACAGAGCTGCTTCAACAGCGCCACCTAAAAGAGGACTCAAGTATCAGACTCAAGTTTTAAAATTTTCAAGGGCAAATATTTACCTCCTACTACAACGCTTTTTGACTCCAAGACTCGTTTGACGACACTCAGAGCATCATGTACGGAACGTTCCATTTCGTCACAATAAAAATCATTTGGTCCACGTAGGATTATTGAAGCTGCAGTACGTTGTTTTGGGCTGAAAAGTTAAATAAATATTGTTCAGCATTTTTAGTTTGACAGTGTAGAAATGCAAGTGAGAAGTAATAAAACACTAGTGCAGTTAATTCACTTACTTTTTAATAATAATCAATTCATCATCTGAGATTCTTTCTTGCAAAACTTCAGCTGCCTCTCCAACCATATTGGCATCAAATGATTCCTCACCTAAAGAAATAAGTGAATGAATCACAAACTAATACAAAAAAAATATATCAATTACCATCCATGTTTGACAGAGAAGTCAAAAACGTGGCCCCAGTAGCTTTAGCGATACGCTTCAAGTCGACCCTCTTGACTCTCCTCACTCCCATAGCTCCAGCCTCGACGAAATATTTCAAACACAAATCATCGATACCTCCCGAGCACAAAATCACATTAACCCCGGTGGACAAGACTTTTTGGATTCTCTCTTTGGTTATGTCTAGTTCGCGAGCACGGACAGCTTCGAGCTTGTCAGGGTCGTTGATGAGTACTTGGACTCCCATCTTCATTTTAGCTTTTTGCAAAGAAAAATCGAGACATGCGATTTTGGCTCCAACAATTTTTTTGGGCATTGCCTGGCTAGCTACTGTGCAGTTTAGGGCGTAGCCTTGGATTAAGGTACTTTCCCTGAACAAGGAAAAATAACAAATTACAAAAGAAATATGAAAATAAATAGTTACTTACCTAGCACTACGTCCGTGGGCTTTAAGTACGTTCACAGCCTTAATTGGATATAGAGGGTTACCTTTAACATCTGTAACTTTAACTGCATATGCTGCATCAACAACCATTGCAGAGAATAAATCTGCATCACTATGTATTAAATTAAAGAAAAAAAATTCACTCAATCAATTTTCCAGTTGTAAGAAATAGTTAAAAAAAGGATACTTACGCTCCAATAATCTTAGAACTCATAGAAGTCTTGGCAACATTGATAATATATTCCTTTCCCAAATCCTCTACAGGAATAGTTAAATGATCTTGAATATATCTGCAGGCTTCTTTACAAGCCAACCTGTAACCGCTGATAATAGAAGTTGGATGAATTTTTTGCTTCACCAATTCATCGGCATTCTAGAATAAGCACAGATTATTGAAATCTTAACTAACATAATATAATAAAGAGGTACCTTTAGTAATTCAGCAGCGATAATAACAACAGATGTGGTTCCATCTCCGACTTCTTCGTCTTGAAGTTGAGCCAGCTCAACCAAGATCCTGGCAGCGGGATGTTCGACTTCTAACAGTTTCAAGATGGTGGCTCCATCGTTGGTGACTGTCACATCGCCGATATCGTCTACCAACATTTTGTCCAGTCCTACAGGACCTAGCGAGCTTTTCACTATGTTGGCAATTGCAGCAGCAGCCATAACTAGAATGTGTAGAGGAGAGATGTTAATAAACGCTTGTTGCTAATGAACTGTTAGAAATTGAAGATCATTGAAAAGCTTGTAAGGAAAAGAATGATAATCTTTATATGTCCAATCATAATATCCTGACTAGTTGTCGGTTTGGATTTCAAGCCTCCGAGGGTATTTAGTGATGCGGTTTTCAAGCTTTTAGAGAATGTATATGTTGGTCTTAATAGGGGAAGTATGACTGCAGCGTTTTTTGGTGATTTTTCTAAAGCGTTTGATTACCTGAATCATAGAATACTTCTGGAGGAAATATATCAGTATGGTTTTACTGGAGTGGTTAAAAAGCCAATTGTATGTTCTAAGGATGGTAGCTCAGATGAACTGACATTGCAACATGGTGTTCCTCAGGGTTCGGTTATTGGCCTAATTCTTTTTCTATTGTTTTGAATGACCTAGTTAGACTTGATATTCGGAGCAGTCTCACTATTTTTGCAGATGTTGATGGAGATGCTAGTTTACTGAAAGATATTATAATTGAAGACTTACAGCATGTGAAGGTGGTGTGTCAAAAATAATAAAACTTGTGCTATTTCTTTTTTTTGTTTTGTAGCAAACGAGGACAGCTTTAGCTTTCTGGGTTTGCACATTCATTCGGATTTAAAATTTAAAAAGCACATTGTGTCTAAACAACAAATTGGCAGTTGGGGTCATTCTTGGCTTAGTCAGTATATTACTCGCTGGTGGAGTCCTATTTCAGATGTGGGATTTCTTTTTGGGGTTTTTGTAGCAAACAAATTTTCCTACAGAAGAGGGCTCTTAGGTATTTATCGAGGTACTTATGCAAATTGAAGGCTAGAGACTGTTGTTTATTCAGGAAGGATGCCTCACATTGCCATATGTCTTTTTATTCTGGGGATTGTCTGCTTGGTGAATAGAAAATGTAAAAATTCTATAAATCCACATCCAACCCTCTATTGATAAACCGGCCCTTAGTCACAGACCGTGAGACTGCTAAGTTGCTGGATTGTCTCATTACCAGGAAACTTAGCTGGGACTGTTGTAGGTATCTTTTAAATCCGAAACAATATGGGTTTACGGTGGGTAGGTTGACATCAACAAATTTGTTTTGTTTCGGAATTTTATTTTGAGCGGCATGGAGAAGGGGTTCCAGGTTGATTCTGTATACTCGGTCTTCTCTAAAACATTTGACAGGGTTAGCCATCACCTGCTCATTAGGAATATAACATAATCTGTGATAACAACAAACAAAATAAAAATACCTAGCACTGCCAAAGTCATCAAAGCATACCAGACCAAAGACTATTAAACATCCTCAATAAACTCTTCTATACTATGGTAGTCCTTTAACTTTAAAACGGACTTTACAAATTTTACAAAACTCTCGAGATCATATAGACTTATAGAGCTTTCCACTCATCTGGCAAATGATTGTAAATCTTCACACTTTCATACATTAAAGAGTTTTTGGTAACACACTCTTTGGTATGGGTAGGTAATGATAAATTTTGGCAATTATGCCTATTACATGTGTTGTGGTAGAGGGTTACCCCATGAGTTACGCATAACCTTGGGTCAAAGTTGTGATAAGTGTTTATCCATCCAGGGTTAACTGCTAACACGAAAGTTATTCCAGGAAAAAGTTAACCCGCGCTCTCACGCCAAGTTAGCGTATTTGACCCAGGGTTAACCTCAAAATTTTCTCTCATTTTCTAGCTGATTTGTTTTAAAAAGTGGTGGTTTTGGATTGAATTTTCATGTTGTGAAGAGATGGCCGGAGGACCTAGATTTCAGTGATGATGATCGGGATGTTCTAGAATTTTTAGAACATGCATGAGCGGCGCCTCTACCTAAGGTTGCGGTCAAATCCCTTTAACGATTTTGACGATGTCGACTTCTTTGCACGTTTTCACTTGCGAAAGAAATAATTTTATTTGTTCTAGAACAAATCGAGCATAGACTTGAATTCCCAACAATCCTGTTTATTAGGGATTTGAGTATATTGTATATTTTTACACAGAATACACGAAACCAAACTTTCCGCTAGTGGGGATTTACACCAAAGTAGCATGCGATGTGCGACTTGCTGCTAGAAGGCAAGAAGCATGATACCTTCTTATTTCAGAACCTTTAGAAATATATGTCTGGTTTCATACCGGAGTGATTCGAACATGTCGTATATTTTAGATTTCAGTTTGCGACGTATTAAGTATTTGCAAGACGCAGCACAAACGTTGTTTATAGATTTTTGACTTGTTTCGTAGACGAGTGTCGATAAATTGAGTAACTCTGTGTGACTTTGGTATTAATGTAAATGTAAACATGGAAAACGCAAGTTGCAACGTGCTTCTTGCTTCCTAGCCCACCTACGGAAACGGAAAAAAAAAAAGAAAAAAATAACATAAATAAATAAGGTTATGAGCAGAAAATGTGAAAAAAACAATGAAAATTAACTGGCAACGTTGCCTAAGTCATGCCAACCTTCGAAGAACCCGAGAGTTTACCAGCCCTGGGTTGAAAAAGCTTGGATAAACACCTTTCGACATAACTCGATAATTAGCCCAGTGTTAGAGTTGACCCAGGGTCAGCAAACTCTGCGAGTTATCCCTTGATTGATAAACCGGCCCTAAATAGCTTTTTGCCTGTAGTGGATGGAGCCTTAAATAGGACTAGGATAAATAGAACATTTTCATTATTCTGACTTTGGAAATCAAAATTAAAATCACCGCCAACTATAATTGATATTCCAGGCCTATACAACATACAACTCATGATTCACCTAATTTCTGAAAAAACAAATAACCAATGGGCTCGCCAATGGGTGTCCTGTAAAGGGACACAACAAAACTAGTTACCCACATCATTCAAGATACATTAAGATACAAAAAACTTGGAAGTGCTTTTCTATTGGAGAAACATGAGCTCATGCCATTTTTAGTGGAGCAAAAAGAGTTTGAGAGTATTTGAATTGAATTGAAAAAGTGCTTTATTGTCCAAAAACTAGTACATTCTTATTGACAAAGCTATCTAAACTAAGTTAAATTAAAATTAAAATCAAAATAAAATATAAATAAAAATACTCTTCTCTTTAAAACATCACTACTACCTCTGGCTTGTTTTGGTTTAAGCACTATGGGAACTGAATATCAAGTTTTTCTTGAATACTGACACTGAAGTAGCACTAACTGTTTCAGCTAGGAGTTGATTCCGGAAAGCAAAGCAAAGCAAAGACTCTGGTAAAAAGTTCTCCCTACACACTTTTTTAAGTTTCAGACTGTAACCCCGGAGTCTTTGGCCTGTATTCAATGCACAGAGGTGTCTAACTGTTTGAATGTTGTCGTGGATTGCTTGGTAGGTGAATCTCCCCTTGTTCTTTTATCTTGAAAGCTTAGCAGTTTTTGTTGATCTAGTATTTTCTCATATGTAGTTTTTTTTTTTTAACCAAGTTGTAATTGTGTTGCTTTTCTTTGTACAGCTTCAAGGCTATTGCGGTCTCTAATGAGGTTTGGGTGCCAAGCCTGACCTGCATATTCTAGCATTGGCCTGCAGTATATGTTGTACAGCTTTATAAACGCTTCTTGAGGGGTCTTTGATAAGACCTTGGCTTTTTTGCATATTGTTGTTACATGACGTGCTAACCAATATGGCTTCCTCTTGCAACATTCCCACCACCGAAGTTAGACAGTGTATAGTTATCCGGATTAACTGAATTAATTATAGTGTCATCCTTAAACGAGTGGTCGGTGATGATTACAATATCTGGACGCAACTCAGATGGAATAACTTTGAACTCAAGTACTTTATTGCCTGAGCTTTGAAGATTTACGTTGAAAATCCTAGTAGTCACTTGAAATGAAACTCTGTGGGGTGGATAAGTAAGAAAGGTAAGTACATTAAAATGTTCCTAATGGGCTAAAAAATTATGTCCAAGTGCAAAATAATATCTTTGCAGGACAACACCCCCAGGCCAAAAAAAAGGATCATGGATAATTTTCTTTAGATCAGGTTTTACGGAACCCCTATCATAAAATTATCCTTTCGGGTCTTAGAAACTTTTAGTTTACAATTTTTAACACTCACTTCATCAGTATCCCAATAAACTAATGTACAGTGTACAAATTGGATAAATGTATTTATTTAATTAAAAATAAATACACAAATACATGCGTAAATACATTTAAATCAAATAAAAAGATTTAAATACAAATAAATAGATTTAAATAGAAATAAATACATTTAAATACAAATAAATACATTTATATATAAATAAATAGAATTAGATACGGATAAATAGATTGAAATACAAATAAATCTTTGATTTTCCCCCAAAATTTTGGGTGAAAAACAGCGCGTCCTATCGACCTGACCATTTTGTGGTAAACTATTTGTGGAGCCAGTGTAAAATATAATATAGTTGAAAGGTCATAACTTTTTTTCTACTATAGATAGAAAGCTGAAATTTTCAGCGATTCTTGCCCCAGTAGAGGACTCATTGGGCTTATAGTTCCTGAGATAAAATCGTGTTAAGCAATTTAGAGCGATTTATCAATTTTTCATAGATTTCGGCTTCAAATCTGAGAATGATTTAGTGTATGGAATTTCGGGGATCCCAAATGACCATTAGGACACAAAATCTCAATTTAAAAAAAAATTGAAATTTCATCGTTTCAGTAAGAAGGTAGCTGATTTAAATTTTGGAAAACTTTGAAAGGTCATAATTTTTTTTCTATTATTTTTTTATTTTTTTATTTTATTTATTTATTGACGGGATTACCCCATTAATGTAATAGTTTTACAAAATTTAACAATAATCTTAAGGTTAGCCAGCAATAGTATTAGTACTAACAACCAATGTAACTAAATTATCAAAATTACAACAACAACAAAAATCCCTAGAAAAAGAATATAAATATATTTTTTTCACCCTATAATAGATCACATTTATTAATTAGACTAATAAATCTACTTTTAGATATCCCTGTAACTTCCAAGTTGT